TCATTTAAATCAGAAGAAAGTTCTCCCTTCCTTTTCATGAATTCTGCATTCAAATATTCAAATTCAAAAACCACTATTCAAATATTATGTATGATAAAACTGGGGAGGATATTTTCAAGTTGTTGACACTTTGTTGACGTTACTTGTGCATGTGGAGGCTTGTTGACATTAAATAGCATGACTAGGATTATAGACTCGTATGATAAAACTTGCAGAGTTTGGGGGGGTGTTAATTCGGGACCCCTCTGTTTTTAGTTACTTTTACTAATACATGTGAAGGTGGGCCCCGAAAAAGAGTGTTACTTGGGTAATGTCTCAAGGTTGTCATGACCCTATTTGAGATACATTTGGAAGAGTGAATCAGGAAAAAAATGTGACTTTCTTACCTATGTCTGCCAACGTTAATGTAGGGTCAACTTGACACACATTCACATTGCAGATTGTGTGACCTTTGGCTGTTCTCTTCAAGACTCTTACTCCCTAATATGCCTTTCTAAACAGATCTACTTTCTGAAGAGACATTCCAGGAACCAACTAGTCATACACCACCAAGCAGATTTTACAATATCACTTATGCGGATGCATGCGTGTACGGTTGGCTGTTACACATATCTTCAGTACTCTTACTCCCTAAATTGGCTCATCTCGACCAATCAGAGATCGGCTTTCTAATGAAACTTTTCAGTTACCAATCAGAGACAATCTTGAAATACCAAGCAACTTGGTCTGCGTCGATTTCCTTTTTACCCCATCATTTCCCACAAAAATTAACCCCTGCCTTTTTTCTAAAAAGCTACCCTGTATTTTGATGAAATAATGTCTCTGTCATCTGGTTAGGTGATTCTGAAAGCTTAAATCTAATTCTTCTTTCTATAAGAAAGTGGTCCCAAAATTTACAATCCACATTTGGGGAACAAAAATTGCGCATATTTTGAATGCAATGATTGCATTCAATGGTACTGGGTATCTGTGCAAATTTTAAATATGTGCAAAAAAATGCTAAATTAGGGCACTTTTACATGTATTTCAAGGATTGTGCTGAACAGGTAAGGCTTATCATTATGATCATGATGGACTGGCCAGTCATGTCTGTGATGCCAGTCAAATCTGCAGGCTCTGCAAACAGTTGTGCAAAACTTATGTTTAGACTTGGGCAGGCACGGCCTGATGGCTGGTGCCATCAGGCCACACTACATGTGTACATGACTTACCCCCAAAACTGTGGAGTCCAACGTCCACACCAATCCTACCACTTGTTTTCTGTGGGGTTTGTGGGAGCGGGGCGGATGTCAGACACCACAATACTGGGGGTACGCATGACTGGCACTGTGATTTTTTTAGTCATGTTAGTATGAATGTCTGATGTGGCCATGGTCAGTGATCATGGTGACAAATAACGGTGGCAGGCTGGGCAGCCAGGTCACTCAACCAACAACATGTCCAAGGGCCTAACAAGTACATGTTCATGTAACATCATACGTACATGTAGCTTTAGCCCAGGTTGGACGCCAGTCTTCATTTCATGATGACTGATGTCCAGATTCTAAGACTCGTGAACAAACCGACCAAAAATTTGGATCAAATTTGTTCCTGGATTACACGTACCTAGTTAAAGAAACTAATTTCACGTTTACAAGTTCTTCATGACCTTATATATCCATCTGGGGGATTAAGGAATTTCAGAATGAACCATGGACTGCAAAATTGAGGAAAATACACTGAGAGACAATGTGACTGTTTTTAACAATTTTAGACGTACATGTAATTCATCCATTCTCGAGTTGCAAAGTGCACGCACGTACAGGAATTCGAGCTGCGTGCACACATAGGTGTGCACGATTTCCAGTGAAAATCTGTTACATGCCTGTTACACGGAGGCTGTGACTGGTACCCGGCTTTAACCCGCCAGCTGATGCAAAAAATGCAGATCCTTTTTTGTCGGATCAGGGGCTTCAGACTGACCAATAACCCTTTGTTGGTTACCCCTAAAATGTTCATATTCTGTTTTACTTTATATTTTGGATTTATAAACGTAAATTTGCAAAACAACCTGTTATTTTATAAGAATAACCTCAGTCAGTGTAGCCAGCTTTATAATATGCAGTGTTCTTGTACATGGGAATAAACTTAAGTTCATCAACAATCTCTCTATTGATGTGTTTTACATGTTTAATTTGTTCGTCAATTTTTATTGATTAAAGATGTATAAATAAACAATATCATAGAGATCTGATTTTTATTAAAATGAAACAGTAACTTATCTTGAGAAATGAGGAATAAAAAGTGGATTACATTGTAGGCATGATGATAATGATGAACAGGCAAGAGCAATGCTGTACATGTAGATCAGGAACACAGTATGCAGAGGCAGTGTTGATCACGCACTTGCAGTAAGTAGTGATCACACACAAATTGTGCTGTTGATCGGCCTTTCCTTTTTTTATTCATAAACCAAACATATAATAAGCAGACTGAATTCGTAATTGTCAGTAACGAGTTAAACTTTAGAGCAACGGACAGATAGCTACCGGTAGTCTGTTTCGACTTCAAAAGCAATCTTCTAATTCATGAGGTTTTGGGGGGTTGGGGAGAAGGAAATGTTTTCTTAAAAACCCTTAGCCTCATGTAGGCCTTCATCAAACAGCTGGGAACTGTCACGCATAGTTGTTTGGAGTCCTCTGAAATCATAAGTGCCCTTGCGATATTTTTGTCAGCATTTTTTGCCAGTGAAGAAATGTAGCCGAACATTTTTTCAGTGGGCTTAAAATTCATTGGCTTGGGAGGTTGAAGTTTATGGTCATGCTGAAGCTCTGTCCGGTTATCGGGCAATGGATCCTGCAACAACGTGCCATTTCAAAATACTCAATAAATCTCAAAATATGTGATTTTTCGTTTTTAAATTAAGGCCCGAGAGATCATGATTGTTAATCGCCGTTATTGACTCTCATATCAGTCTACACATATTTTATAAAACAAATACTTATTTGTGCCTGCGGCGTGCACATTCTGAAAAAGTTCTCCATCTCTTAAAAAAAATGTATTCGGTATAACTTTCAAAATGGGACAAATTAACAAACATGAGTAAATTACTAGCGACAGAAATTTGCCCAAAGCCTTGCTTGTCAATACTCCCTCCCTCTCGACACGGAAAAGCTGGATACTGCAGTCGGGAGTCCTTTAACTTTGATTGAATTTGTGGACACCTTTTGTCAGTCTATTTTAAGTACACCAGTTGACACATAATACAAATTATATGTTACAAATTGTAATGTAACTAGCCAACCGTCACCAATGCATGCCACAGCCTCGTCCCTAGCCCGATGTTGTGTGTACTCAGCCAGGCGATCAATGGTACTCGGGGCTGAGAACCACGTTGCATGTGCTTTATGTGCATGTACGCAGCTCGGAATCTTGTACGCCGAATAGCTGCGTGCACACACTGTACGAACTGCACTGGGGAACGGCAGAAAATAGTCCACAACAATGGCAAGAATTAACGTTACTTTTGAGTTTATTTCCACGTTTTTGTCTTTTGTTGTGATTTGTTGAATTTCTTAACCCACCAGCGTTGGAGATAAGGACGCATATAGGAGTTAAGCATGTGAAATTGGCTACTTTGAAAAGGTAGAAGTGTTGAAAATTTCAGTTATCAAATTTTTGGCCCCATTTTTGACCCTTTACATGTATATCCTGGACTCTCTCTGTAATGTAGTATGGTCAGGGAGTCCCCCTGGGCTAGGCTATGCTCAACTACTACTTCGAGAACTCAAAGTCACTACTCGGCCATACTCTGTGTGACTTTGAGCCAACATGGTTTACATGGTGTCGTAACGCTACAGGGTTTTGGAATTGAATTTTTGTGGTGAAATGGTTCACAGGTGTATGAAAGCTATTAAATTAAATTTTCCCCTGTCAGCAAACCTGATAATTTACACCACTTAAAAAGCAAAGACAAAGTTTCAGAGCATGAGACGGAGGGGGATTTTTAAGTCTCACAATCTGTCACCACTGTACAGCACAGCACATGTCGCTTGTCCAACCCAATGGGTGTTTCTAGGTAATAGCAGCAGCCAGGACAGTCCCACAATGAAAACAACAAAAGATGTCATATTCCCCCACCGAACATATCCAACCATGATCAGATGATGTGGAGCAAGCGCAGTCATGGGTGGGCTCGACGCATACGCAGTCTGATAAACATGAATGGCATGAATGGAGCCGACAGTCGGCGGGTGGAAGCGAGAAATTGGTGAAAAAAAAAAAAAAATTTTTCAAAAATACTCTGTCTCATGTACTGAAACTTTGTTATCCCGCTCTTTAAGTTTACACCGTGGATATCGTTACGGCAGCCGTAATGCATCTCCCATTTTCTATCGTTACAGCACTGCAACTGTGCAACCCTAACCTCCAAGCATATTGTTTGGCAAACACTATACAGTACTACAAAATACTAAGTAATAGTCTGAGCCTGAAGGACCTAGTGCTACAGATTACTACTTCTGGCTAGATTACTTCCATTGCATTCATAGTGCCACAGCACTGTATGGTACATGTACATTGTCTTATCTGCTGTATCTTATGGCTTCACAGAACAATAAAGTCATGTCCTCTTACAAGTGACAGCGCTGTATGTACATTTTACTACAAGTAGTAATTTGTAGTATTACATGTATGTAGGGTTAGGGTTATGAGGCACATGTAGGCCTAGGCCCCTACAGATTAAACAGGTTTGCTGACGGGAAAATTTGATTTAGGGCTAATAGCTTTCTTACACCTGTGAACCATTTCACCATAAAAATTCGATTCCAAAACCCCATAGCGTTACGACGCCATGTAAACCTTGTCTTCTCAAAGTCACACGGAGTATCACGGAGTTAGTGACTTAGACTACAGTACATTTGTCGAAGGTGTCCCAGTTCTGGGGTAAGCTACTCAACATGCTTTATATTATTTCCTTTGACATGTTTCTTGAATGTATTCTCTCGCAAACATATACTCACCAACCAGTCGACTCGGGAGGTCCAATTTATATAGCAAAAGTTAACGGAAGCCTGAGTATCACATCAATATGAATTATGATAAGAAAACACAATCACAACTCACTAGCGCAGGCCCTATAATACTCATCATGCTCATTGAGAAATACAGGGTCAGGTGACTGTGGGATCGTGGATAAAATAGTACAAGCTAAAGCGTTCTTTGAAGCCTTTAACATTTGAATTCACAGTATTAAATGCAAAATTTACAAAATTAGCCAACCAACCACGAACAAATATTTATTTAAAGTGTGTTTCTTGGATATAAATTGTTAGAAAGACTAACATAAAAAAGATTATGTAATGCGATCTGTTTCAAGTGAGAGCAGCTTACTAAAAATTAGTGTTCGGGTGGAGTGGGGTGGTTCCCTGCGCAAAGCTCCGTTCATGAAGTAGTGCACAGGATTAGTCAGGTGGTAACTTGTAAACTGTGGGCGCTGTATGTAGTATTTGACATGCACGTAGGGCCAGCAGGCATCGGTAATGGTAATGCACAGAATTTAGCTTTATTTAATAATATCTGTGTACTTTTTTCGTGCTTTGTTTGGACATGGTTTCTTTCAGTTCATTATTTTTGCAGCTGATAGTGGGACCCAAATGTTCACACACTATGCTGCATTAAGCAGCTTTCACACAGACGTACAACATTATATATTATATGATGCAACTTTAAGCCTAGGCCTAAACAATCAGACAATAGCCCCACTAGTGTGGCACGGACACTCGCTACTGCTCCATCCTTAGCCACACATCCGTACTTGCAATTTTCAGTTGGCGTGGTCAAATCTTCGGTGCACCCTCTTGCGCAAATTTTTTTGCACACACAAACGTTCCTTAGTCTCTGCGCTTTCTATTGACACATTATTTGAATGATTTCACTCACATTCTGATATTTTCCAGTGTTTTTGTCTGTACCCATTCAATCTCACGGTCCCACTCTGACACACCATCTTTAAATTAAAATGTGTCTATTGAACTTTACGTCACTTGACCCTGGCCTACAGATGCCTGTTCCATTTGCTTCAATTCTACAAAAAATAAACTTAACCAGGCCTGCAAATATTGCTCAGTCTGATCGGTGCGGTGAGACTGCAGTTGTATATTAGATATGTCTTGACATAGAACAGCCATCTGCGGGCCAGGGTCAAGTGTCATTAAGTTCAACAGACATATTTTAATTTAAAGATGGTGTGTCAGACCATAGACCTACAGTACACAAATGTAGGTCTAGCTATGGTCAGAGTGAGACCGTGAGATTGAATAGGTAAAGACAAAAAGACTGAAAGTGAAACCATTCAAATAATGTGTCATTAGAAAGCGGAGAGACTATGGAACATTTGTGTATGCAAAAAAATTTACGCCTACGGTTATAAGAGGGTGTGCTAAAGATTGACCACGCCGACAGAAAATTGCATATTGATGTGTGGCTAAGGATGGAGCAGTAGCAAGTGTCAATGCCACACTAGCAGGGCTAGTAGGTCTCTAGACCCACAAACAGGGCCCTCCAAGAGAGGAGTATTCTGAGGTGGAAAGCTTGCGGTAGCAGCATGCAAGGATACGATCTCTTTGTGAGTCTGTATGGTTCTGAAAAGAAGCGTGAGGAACTCAACGTTTTGCACAGTATGCTCTGTCCGTCATCAGGAGACTGAAGAGGTGCCGACATAGAGTGGGGCTTATAAGCTGACTGGGAGTACTGGACTGTGACGGATCCTTCTGTGTAGTCAGGTGGAACGAGGATGCAGCTGGTGGATCCACCTGGGTGATGCATGTCAGTTGGTCATGGGCTGTGGCGGGGGAAGGTTGCCTGGGTATAGGAGACCCATGGTGGTGGGGGGGGGCTAGGGTATAGAGGACCCATCAGACCAGGAGGTGAGCAGGGCCTGCCAGATGTCGCTGATGGAGAATCCAATGTCTAGAGGCACGGTGGGGTGTTTGGAGATTTCTAAGGCTTCTCTAATGCGTCTTGGGTACCACTGTTCGATGCTAGCAATGAGGTGGGCTTCTTCCCAGTTGATGG